AGGGGGAATGTGCCTGCTGCCCCCCCCGAGCCGGAGCCCAGGCAGGGGGCACCCTCGGCAGGGGGCCATGCAGAGACAACGCCAGGCCGCTGGTGCCCCTTGGGTGCATTTGCGGCCGGAGAAGCTGGAGGAGGGTCTTGCTTGTCCCTGGCGCTCGGGGGATGGGGTCCCACTGGGGCTGAGCCCCAGAACCTCCTCTCCAATGAGCTGGGAGCCAGCTGCCAGGAGCAGCCACCATGGCCGTGACCTGCCCCACCGGACTCAGCATCATGAGCCGTGGCCACCCCTTGCCGCCCTCCAGGAAGTACCTCAGCAGGAGCCGTGCCTCAGGGCTGCCCACATAGAGCTCCCAGAGCCCCGGGGCCAGGTGCAGGCTCGGAGCAGCCGGGCCTGGGGCTCCCCGCTGGGGGGGGCGGGGTGGCCTCCGCGGGACTCCCTGCCTGCTCCTTCTCCCACCCCTGGCAATGTGCCGCCCCAAGCACCTGCTTGTTTTGCTGGTGCCTAGAGCTGGCCCTGAGTCCTTGGGATTAGTGTTCAGGTTCTTGGTAGGTTTGGGGGTCTCTGGGTTCTCCCTTCTGGCCTGAAGTTCTATAACTGTGATTTTGATGATGGCAACATGGAACAGGTGCGTGTTTTCCAAATTAAACAGTTTTGATTTTTCATTTCATGTCAAAACAACCTTTGAAATGTGTTTTATTGGTGATTACACTTTTTGCACAAAATAAAGGCCTTCAAGATCAAAGTGAACCATTTCAATTTTTTGATTGGCTCAAGATAAAATTTCATGGGGGCAGGAATTGAGGTTTCCAACAATATTTTGGAATAACATAGCAAGTCATTATTTCAAAATAATGTTGAGGTGGAAGACTTCTTACGTCAACTCATGGTAACCCTCATTTCACAAGGAGCAAGGATAATTGGGGGAAGAGTGTTCTTCCTTCGACTTCTTGTTGTATAGACAGCGCCAAAAGCTGAATTAAGATATTTTGATTTCAGCTATGCAATTGATGTAGCTGAAGTTGCATAGCTTAATTCGACTTTTGCCCTGCAGTGTAGATGTGCCCTTTCTGATTTGGAACAAAAAGAAATTTTGAAATCTCAGAATTTCCCATGGAATAAAATTTCCAAGTCTCACCTTTGGCACGTGGATTTGAAAATCGGCCCAACACCTGATAAATTATTGCTGCTATTTGATAGTTGTACTAGAGTACCATCTAGGCATCCCCATCATAGATCAGGACTTCATTGTGCCAGGGACTGTACAGGATTATTGCTATTGATTAGGTGTCCTGTTGTAGCACCTTGGCACTGCAGAGCCCTCGCGGTGTCAGTTGCTGTACATTATTTGTGCTGTTTAATAGATGTGCTACAGTTGCAATTAAAGTTTCATAACAGCTAAAACACAAGTTGTCAAACTCAGGTATCCAAACATCTACTATATATTTAAGAGCATTTGTCTATCAGTTTGTGTCGCTGTCTGTTCAAGAATTCCTCCTAAATGGTAAGAGCTGGGACCATCAAATTCAGTGCACAGCTTCCACTCATCACAACTTAAAGCAGCATAAGGGTTTGGTTGTGCCAGGAAAATGGAATGTGCCTGGAATGGGATTTTTTCTCATGAAATCCTACAGAAAAGAGACCGAATCACCAGACAGGTGAAAGGGGCTGGTTGGGGGGTGCCCCCCGGAACTGCCCCAGCCCCGAGCCTCCTGCCCCCAAGCCATCCTTTAAGGAGGGTTGGGGCTGAGGCTCCTCTCCATATGCCTACAGGGACATTGCTGGCTGTTCCCCTTTGCCAGGGAGCAAGGGGAAAGAGCACCGCTTCCTGCATTCCTCGCTCTGGCTGGGCAGCACAGGGAGCAGATGAGCTGTGCACTTTGCTTTTCTCCCCTGACAGGGACAGAAAGGGTAGCAAGCAGCTCTGGTATGAAACTCCTTACCCGTCATCATCCACACACACACATGGTATGTCTACACCTGCCCCCTTGTTCGGTATGAAGCATACCGAAGTTGCTAATGAAGTGCGGGATTTAAATATCCTGCACTTGTTTAGCATATTCGCGGCCCGTCACCATTTTAAAAAGCCTGGATTAATTTGCCACATGTAGTCTGATCCAAAGCCCTTCACTCGAATTAACTGTTACTCCTTGTGCAATGAGTAAGAGCACGTCTTCACCCCCCCCAACCCTGACTCCTGCACCCCCCCTACACTCCCATCTCCCTGCCCTGAGCCCTTCCTTAAGTACCCGAGCAATACCAGGTAAATGTACTAGTACAAAATGAATCCTGAAATCAAATCCTAGTAAGTTCTCAAGCAGCATTTGTCTCACTTTGTCCATTTGTGTATTTTAATTACTACCAATGGAAATTAGTTTCTTGGTGTGTGCATGTACTGTGACATTTTTCAAGTAAAATATAATCCTTGCAAACCTGTCTGTCTGTCCATCAGTCTGTTCAAGAACTCAACAGTAAGAGCAAGGACCACCAAATCTGGTATATAGCTTCCTCTTCTCCTAACTCAGAGGTGGGGATCTTCAGGCCCAGGGGCCAGATGCAGCCCCGGGCTTGCCTGGATCCAGGGCCCTGAGGCTCAGAGCCTCCCCCCCGCTCCAAACACACACACATTTGGGATCCCATTTTAGTGCTCTAGCCCCTCCCCCACCACTGCACAGCTTCTCTCTCTGTGTCCGGGCAGCACACAGCTATCATCTCAGTGTCATTTCAAAATTATTGCCTAGTGCAGACATGCCCCAAGTTATAACATGATCCAATAGCTGCAAGATGAAAACACACAAATTGAGGCTGCAAGTAAGGTGTACATTTTTGACAGGGAGGGCACTTAACCATCGGAGGCCCATTCTCAGGGTACGTCTAGACTACATGCGTCTGGCGACAGAGGCATGTAGATTAGACTACCCGGCATAGGAAAATGAAGCGGTGATTTAAATAATCGCTGCTTCATTTAAATTTACATGGCTGCCGCGCTGAGCCGATCAGCTGTTTGTCGGCTCAGCACGGTAGTCTGGACCGTGGGGGTCAACATCAAAGGCATTTGTCGACCTCCCAGGTATGCCTCCTGGGATGAGGCATACCGGGGAGGTCGACAAATGCCTTTGATGTCTACCACGGAGCGTCCAGACTACCCGGCACGGGGGCCCACCACCA